GAGTTTTCCGCAATACTTTTCCCGACCTGGTGTTGCTGCGAGTTTTCCGCAACATCTTCCCGACCTGGTGCTATCGCGAGTTTTCCGTAGCACTTCATCCAGACCAATTATTCCCTTATGAATAATCATATCAATTACATCCGAAGTACGAGTCCCACAAGATTGCACTAGGCCAGACGTTTTCCGATTATATATTTAAATAAAGATTTTTTTTTTCCCTCCGTAAACCCCTATGTTGATTTTTTTTTTATTATTAATAAACTTTGATTTTATTTCTTAAATTTACGAACCGCATGTTTTTATTTTTTTTTTACCCTCTCTCAAACACCCTGAATCTCCGACTGTAACCCCCAAAAGCTACTTGGAGGCGAAAGAGTTCCTTAACTCTCTAAACATAAGGTGGCGCCCGAGACCGATAACATCCCGAACATAAAAAAAAAGGCACCAAGACCCCTTTCCTAGGACCGAACCAGGAAAGAACGTCGCACGCTTGTGTCATACGAATGCGATGGTGCGCGCGCACGACCTTCCACCGTCGCAGACAATAAACTGAGAACGACTGAGGACTGAAAACAAACTGAGAAGTCTGAGAACTGTGCATCAGGGGGTTGACACGACATAAGAATAAATTTATCTAAGTATGTAATTACCTATCACAACTATTAGTGGCGCTACCGTCGATCTTTTGGCAATATTCGGCATTGTTAGTATTCGGGCGGTATTAGTCATAGTTCTTGCTTGACGTGCATCGTGTGATTCGTGTCCAAGTTTTAGTTAAACTACGTACGTTTATACATATATTATATTTGTGTGTAATTATGCATGCAATCGCAGTAAGTATAAGATTATCCTAGCAAATATATAATTATAATCCTGTCACATGGTCATAATATAATTTGAGGCATGAACGAGCAACCCCCTAAGAGGGGGTGCTTCAACCCCTCAAAATTGAATAGGGGAGAGGGGTTGAGTGATACTTCAATTGAAAGGTCTTGGAAGTCTCTTTACAACGGTGTATGAAAAACGTAAATTTGATGAACCGTTTTCGCCAAAAATCAATTTTTTAGCTCAAATAAGCAACCTTGAATATTTTGGCTATAAATAAAAAAATTGAATTTTTTTTTTAATAATTTAAATGGCTTGAATTTGAAGGTAACTGAAAATAGTTGGCATGTTGAAGGGTTTGTAGAGGTGGGAACAGAAAAGGGTCAAAAACTTTCAGATCATGTTTTGGTGTTTATGATTCGTGGTCTGGCGAGAAAATGGAAGCAACCTGTTGCTTTCTATTTTACCCATAAGGCTGCGAATCAGTATATACTCAAATCACTGATCAAAGAAGTTATACGAGCCGTTCATAAACATACGGATTTTCGCATCGTAGCATCTGTATGCGATGGTGGCTCCTGGATGTAGCTGACTTGCGTAGCCTTGCAGCAGAATATGGTAAGGAGGGTGATCAATTCGTATATAATATTGATGGTCATCAAATTATTCATCTTTTTGATGTCTCTCATCTGCTGAAATGCATGAGAGATAATTTGATGACCAAATATATTGTATTTGAAGGGAAAACGGCTAAGTGGAGTGACATTCATCGGCTGTACGAGTTGGATGGAGATAGTGGCATACTCAAAGCTACCAAGCTTACGTATGTTCACGTAAACCCCACCAATCGGCAGAAGATGAAAGTAAAGCTTGCAGCGCAAGTTTTCAGTAACTCCACTGCTTCCCTCCT